CAATTTAAAAAGCACACACGAAATTTTGCATCTTTATTTTTTTCTTTCAAAAACAACAATTTTCTTATAGTATTTCCTGACATTTGTGGTTACAACTTTTTCTAGTTTTAGGAGTAAATGTCTGCTCTTTTATTTTTAAGTGAAAATGAGGGCTGTGGGAAAAAAACAATCACAATTCTGCCTTTTATTAATACATATGAAGTTAGCAACTACAACAGATAAAGAAAAACCCTAAATAAATAGCAGGACATTAACAATTCTTTCATTTTGCAGATCATTATGGTCAATCCGATTATAGAATGATTCCCTTTAACAAAATCATTGTGAACAGTAAACTTCAGGCCTTCCTCAGTCAAAACTTTGCATCTTTCACTTAAAGTCTTTTTGATGTTAACCATCGCCCGATCTCCCAGGGCAAGTAGCTTTTATTGTTGGGAGAGTACAAATTTCATTGCATTTGTCCGCCGGGAAAGCGCGATGATCGCAAAAAAAAACTTTTTATCACTCAAAATTACTTTAAAATCACCGACATTCGATGAAAGCGACCCAGAAGCGTTGCCGGCTCCATTTTTGTTGTTTTGTACACATTCTCGCGTGATTTGAAAAAGCCAGGTGATTTTCCGCCAGATGGCGTGATTTTTGTCCACCTAGTGGTAATTTTGATGTAGTTACCAAAACGACAAACGTGATACCATTGAACACAACGTATGGACGTCAATGATCCATGCTAGTCGTGTTTGATTGAACAAGCCGAAACATCTCAGCTTACAGGGCTCGATGTTAACCATCGCCCGATATCTCGGGGCAAGTCGTTTTTATTGTTGGGAGAGTACAAATTTCATTGCATTTGTCCGCCGGGAAAGCGCGATGATCGCAAAAAAAAAATATTTATTACTCAAAATTACTTTGAAATCACCGACATTCGTTGAAAGCAACCCAGAAGCGTTGCCGGCTCAAATTTGTTGTTTTGTGCACATTCTCGCGTGATTTAAAAAAGCTGGGTTATTTTCTGCCAGATGGCGTGATTTTTGTCCACCTAGCGGTAATTTTGATGTAGTTACCAAAACGACAAACGTGATACCATTGAACACAACCTTATGGACGTCAACAATCCACGCTAGTCGTGTTTGATTTAACAAGCCGAAACATCTCTGCTAACAGGGCTCGATGTTAACCATCGCCCGATATCTCGGGGCAAGTAGTTGTTATTGTCGGGAGAGTACAAATTTCATTGCATTTGTCCGCTGTGAAAGCGCGATGATCGCAAAAAAAAAGATTTATCACTCAAAATCACCGACATTCGATGAAAGCGACCCAGAAGCGTTGCCGGCTCCATTTTTGTTGTTTTGTACACATTCTCGCGTGATTTAAAAAAGCTGGGTGATTTTCCGCCAGATTTTTGTCCACCTAGCGGTAATTTTGATGGTAAAATGGTAAATGGCATGTACTTATATAGCGCCTTTATTCAAGTTAGGAGACTTGACCAAAGCGCTTTACACTACATTCATTCACCCATTCACACACACACTCACACACTGATGGTGGCAAGCTACATTGTAGCCACA